CATTTCTTATTAAAAAGAAAACTAAACAATATTGATAAAGAGTGATAGTCCAAATTGGCAGATATGACGAAACAAGTATGCATATTATTTGACCCCCCCCCCACATACCCCCCCACACACGCGCACACACGCGCGCGCACACACACACGCACACACACACACACACACACACACACACACACACACACACACACACACACACACACACACACACACACACACACACACACACACACACACACACACACATAAACACCCACACACGTAAGCGTGCGTGTGAATACATGTATATGTGTATATATGTATGTATATATATGTATGTATATGTTTATATATATATATATATATATATATATACATACATATGTACACACACACACACACACACACACACACACACACACACACTCACACACACACACACACACACACACACACACACACACACACACACACACACACACACACACACACACACACACACACACACACACACACACACACACACACACACACACACACACACACACACACACACACACACACACACACACACACACACACACACACACACACACACACACACACACACACACACACACACACACACACACACACACACACACACACACACACACACACACACACACACACACACACACACACTTTTTTTTTCTTTTGCTATTGCAGCTTTTCATGACGCGGGAAAAGTGTAAACAAACCAATGTTTACAAGTTTCAGCTGTAATGTCCCATCGTTTAATGAAGTTTCGAGCTAATAGCTGATAGCATGGCAGTGACAACTAATGTCAAAAACTTCCTGAAGAACAAGCACATAACAGTGCCAGATGAGTGGATTACAGCTTGTGTTGAGTGGGTGCAGTCGGAGAATCCAGGACTAAATGTGAGATTCCCAGTTATTGAAAGTCCGTTGTCTGTACTCTTGCTTGTAATTCACATTTAAATTCTTTTTCATCAATAATCATTATTGTCTCAGTAGATTTAAACATTCATAAACCTTCATAATTACTTTCTGATTCTATTAACCAAACTGAAATATGCTGAAAGTGAGAGTTCCGAGCGGGTACACCAAGAACATGAAAAATAATATGTAATTCGAGAGAGAACTCGCATGTCAATTAGTGTTGGCAAGACGAGGAAGGAACAAACGAGAAAAGACAATAGTCAATATTCAGAATACCTTTAGAAACCCAATCAGCACAGTTTGCATAGTTTTGCAGGTGAACACTCAAAATATTTTCTTTTTCCACCGTACACATTTGAAAAAAGTTTTTTTGTTTGTTTGTTTTCTAATACTTCCGCCAAACAAAACTAGTTTCCAAATATGTAAAAATTGATACCCAGAAACCCCACTAATAGCAGGGGAGCATATGAAAAGTAGGCTATCAGGGAAATTGAGTACCAGTCCAGTTTCATACAGATGCCTTTTAAACAGAAAATGATATATGCAAAGGATAGATTGTACTTTTATGTACTTCCTTTGCAACTCAAAAATAACAAGTTGCAGGATAAATTATGTATAATATACACATTATCTCTATATTATCTATGGCAGGGGGTGTTGTTCCCCCACCCGTTCTGTAACAAGAATTCACTGTGCATGCAGCATTATAGATCTCAGGACAGACTCTGCATCAGGTGCACCCATATGTCGATCATATATTCTATTGTGCCATGATTATTTGGAGGATTTTTTGTTTTCCATGGTGGGGGTTATGGGGCAGCAACTTGTCATTATATTAGACAATATAATTGTCTGGGTTCATTTTGGAGAAAAGATCAGCCAGGTCAACTGAAACACACCAGAGGAAACATGGTAGGAATTTAATGGTAAAGGCACTACATACATTATATATACAAATAGGACAGGAGAAATACAGGTGGAGATTCCAGCGGAGCAGTTGAGCTCACATGGCGGAACAGGAATGCACAGTCACAAAGATCACAGGATAACTGTCGAATTTCTAAATGACCCGCCTTTTATCTGACTCATCAGAGTAAACGTGAGGACACCAATCGCGGGCGACCTAAGCCCGCTGCACAGGCTTTGGTAAACATCATTATAGGTGTTGCGTGACTTCTCACATCCACAGTGTAATGGTCAAACAATGTTGACCTAATGCAGCCACCTGGACTCATATAAATGACAGTGACAGACCAAGGTGATCTTGCAGTTGTGACATATCTCCCTTCTTTCTTAAAAATAATCTTCAAAATTTGAAGATTATTTTCAAAAGACACAACTGTGAGATGCCTACCTGATGCTCCAAGGTTCTACTTAGAGCAAGGATGTAGCCCCAGGGCCTGCCCTTTTGTCATCTGCTCTCCTCCGGCAATCCCAGTCTTGCCGTCTGTCAGACTTGCTGCACCATCTCAGCTTCTCCAGTTTCTCCTCGGATGGCAGCTCTTCCGGTGTCTCCTTGGATGGCAGCTTCTCCAGTGGTTCCTGGTACAGTAACTCCTCCAGCGGTTCCTTGGATGGCAGCTCCTTTGTTGGTTCCTCAGACAGCAGCTCCTCCTGTGGGCCCTTGGGCGGCAGCTCCTTCTCCGGGTCCTTGGAAAACAGCTTCTTGGGTGCCTCTTCAAATGGCAGATTCTCGGGCGTCTCCTCAGATGGCAGCTCCATCAGACAGGAGCTGCTCTGGCGTCTCGTCGGACAGGAGCTGCTCTGGTGTCTCCTTGGACAGGAGCTGCTCTGGCGTCTCCTCGGACAGGAGCTTCTCCGGCATCTCCTCGGACAGGAGTTTCTCCGGCGTCTCTTCGAACAGGAGCTGCTCCGGCATCGCCTCGGACAGGAGCTGCTCCGGCATCTCCTCGGACAGGAGCTGCTCCGGCGTCTCCTCGGACAGGAGCTGCTCCGGCGTCTTCTCGGACAGGAGCTGCTCCAGCATCTCCTCGGACAGCAGCTCCTTCTGCAGGTTTTTGAGTGGTTTCTCCTTCTGCGAGTCCTCGTATGGCAGCTCCTTCTGCAGGTCGTTGGGCAGCAGCTCTTACTGCGGGTCCATCGATGGCTGCTTCTATGGCGTCCAGAGCAAGCCCAGAGCAAGGGACCCACATTCCTCCAAAGAGCTTGTTCTGCTCTCCTCCGTCTCTCCTACGACGCTCTTCTTCCCACAGGCGCCTCTGCTTCATCCTTTTATGATAATACAGCATGAGCTGCTCACGCTTAATTTTACTGCTCTGTATATAGTGTAAGTAAGCCATTCCTTTGAGGCCGAGCATTTTACCTTCCTGTATGTAGTTCTTCATGCTGTTTTCACGATCACCTGATCCTGGCAAGGTCGCAAATGTCAGGGTTCGTTTTGGAGAATCAAATTAGCCAGGTCGACAGAAACACACCAGAGGAAACATATTACAGGAATTTAATGGTAAAGGTGCTATATACACTATATATACAAACAGCACAGGAGAAATACAGGTGGACATTCCAGTGGAGCACGCGAAGTCATATGGCAGAGGAGGAATACACAGTCACAAAGACTGCAACCTGCTCACACCTGCAGTGTAGCAGTCAAACACAGGCAACCAAAAGCAGCCACCTGGGCTCATGTAAGCGACAGCAACTGACCAAGGTGATCTCGCAGTTGTGACACTAAACCCTCCTAATACCTTGCTCATTATTGTCATGGGGGAGGAGCTTAAGAGTTGAAACAGGAGCCCAGTGTAGGTATTGCCCCTACCTTGGACTTTAGGCCTCACCTCAACTATTTTGCTTGGTCCTTTCACCTTTCCTCTTCCCTATCTTCTTCATCCCCTTCAGTCCCACTCCTAAGGTGTGAGAGCCATGCTGAAAGGATGAAAAGCTGGCTTTTTGTCAGTCGTGAATGGCCTCCATAAGCCATGGGCACTTAGCTAATTGCCTATCCCTTACCCCTTATGGGGACATTGATGGGTAGACCGTTTCTTTTCCCCATTTTATTCAGGCTCACCATGGCCAATAATGAAGATGCATTACCCTTAACCACTAGCTGCTGGGTGGTATGTATATACATGCCATGGCTGTTGTAGACGGAAAAATGGATGGCATTGTATCATGACCATTCCTGCGCCATTGGCTTTTCGGACGGAGTTTGTTTTTCTCTATTAGTAGCAGCATCATTTATATGGTAAAGATTTTAGGCGATAGCACTTATAATGAAGGTAAACCTTCATAACTATAGTATTTTTATGAATTATAGCAAAGTAAAAGCTTTTAGGTGCAAAATGTTCATAAATTACTAAACGAGCTGGGCGCAAGCAGGGGAAACTGCTGATGCGTTATTACATCCACTTGCCAAACTTTTTAACCCAGCGGCATTGGGTCAATAGGGACACTAAATTTGTATTGGTGGATTTTAAACCCTCTTCCCCATCAATGTCAGAAATATTGGCGTTTTGGCCACACAGCCAAATACTGTCGTTCGACAGCCCGCTGCCCTCTGTGTGCCCAACCTAGTCATGACTGTTCAAATTGTCCTGCTCAGTCACATACATGTGCATCCTGCAACAAATTTTATAGGAGCTGCCTTGCCTATAAGCTCAAATGTGAGGTAGTTTTCAGATTCAAACTAGGCCTCACTCTATGTCAGGCTAGACAGGAAGCATGATGACAAGGTTTTTGCTCTCTCTACCTATTCCAAATCAGTTGTTTGGTCTACACCATCCTTTTACTTCTCCATGTACACCATTCCCTTTTTGTTCTCCATTATCTCTCCCTCTCGCACCCACATACTCACGTGAATCTCTCCTATTGCAACAGTGTCCTCCTCCGGATTTCTCTCCTCCTGACGCTCTTCCTGATACTTCACCTCCTTCCTCAGTTCCCTTATGACATCCCCAGACTCTTCTCCTGCTACTCCTCCAGCAGCCATCCCTACCCATATTACCTGTTTAGTATTTCATAACAATTCTTTTACCAGTTTTTCCTTTAAGCAATATTACTATAGTATCCCCAACAACAGTCACCCTATACCCTTAACCCTTTCCTTTATTAATGTCAGATTTACATCATTTGCACCCCCTCTTTACCCTTTTCCCTATCATACTATCTGATAATACTATGACCTTTGACATTTAAAACTCTTTTATACTAATTGTTAACTCATTTATCCTTTTTACCACAATACTTTACCATAGTGCTATATGACCTTAGATGTCTAGCACATTAATTTATTTCAACCATTAACCATTAGACAATATAATGACATTCTGTGTAAATTATTATTATAGTGAGGCATTTTGTTTATATTCTTATTTTGTGCTACAGTTATGTAAGCTAGGCTGGGATGAAATTGCATAAGTGTTCTTTTTCTTTTGTTTTGCACAAATTGGAAAGGCAGAAAGGTGCATTATTCCATTACGAGTACTCTTAGGGGGTGGGGGGGGGCAATCAGAAACAGTTAACCAGCCACACAAGCAAGTATCAAATGCATTCAAATTACATTGAAGTTGATGGGGTGCATCTATTACTTGTCTCTGAGTGATGAGAAGTGCTTGCTCATGAGAGAGTGAGGACAAGGCTGTAGGACCTAGTATGACCCAATCTGAGAAGTATGAGGAGCTTCAGGTTGCAGGTTATGCAGCTACAACATTAAGAGCCATTACATAAATATCATGGTCCCACCTCCAAGAAGCATTGTTTATCATATTGCATTTTTTTTTTTTTTTCTGAAACGTTTTATACTAGTATTCATACATGTCAAAAAGTAGGATAGATTGATTTTTTGTTTATAAAGTCAATGAAATCTGTGAAGGAAGAGTGCCTCTTTACCACAGAAAACCAACATTATGAGTGCTCATATACTGGCTTGTGTTTCAGTGAGCCCTGTACATGAGTTTGATTTACTTTCAATTATTTTGATCTTGACTATCATTCATCTAGGGTAAGCCTTGCTTGAGTGTGGTATATATGGTGCGGGTTATATGAACTTTGTCAGAGCATTTTGGTTGTTTGAACACATCTGTCTCTAGTTTTATCCTTATAGCCTGGTTAACATTAAAGTGAAACCATAGCATGATATCACATAACAAAAAATTATGGACAATGGGTGGCATCTTGTCGCATCATGAGTGTGTGACCCAATTTCCAGGATGAGATCACATTCTCTAACAAATACTAGACACTCATTCAGAAGTGGAGCTTTGTGTACTATTAATACTTACCAGGCTCAACCTTCCTCCCCCCAAATAATTCCCTAGTGTTATTGGGTTAATGTAAATTTAAAGTTCAAAGAAGACTTAAATGGAACAGCTAAAGATATTGAAATGTTAGCAGTTTTTGAAGAATTATGAATTATGATGTCTTTGTCTTAAGTCTTTCTCATAGAAAAATAAAACAAGCTTCTTGTTTGTGTATCCTCTTAATCCAACAATTATCAGATTAATGAAGGGTTAACTCAGCCATTAATACGGGATTGGTAATGGGTATTAGCAGTTTCTTGCTTGTGTATGGTTTGTTCAGTATTGCATCCACCATTTGTGCAATAAGTTGTTATTAGCTGATGTTTCTAATCAGAATATTGAAAAAAATATAAGTCTCTCCTCATCTTAGTAGGTTTCGTTCAGTCTCCTTTGCCAGACAAATATTTCTTCTACTTTTGGAGAGAGACAAGTTCTCTCCAGCAAAGGCCACTGAATCTTCACCATGCAAAGGTGTCCTCTAGATGTTTACATATCTTGTTATGTTTTACCATACATAGCCTACTCACCACTTCCCTAGTAGCTATAGTAAATATGATTGTGGGCTGTGGTTCCAAGTAACTAAAGGCATCCCATTTTTTATGAAAAAATTTACAAATATTCCCTTCAAATTATATTCTTGAATAATTGAGTTATATGATATCTTTATATAAGTATGATTGCATTCTCTTAATTCAATTGTAAGGTATATAATCATGGAAGTTTTTTCTTGTTACTCTATATTGTATCATATTCTTAAAAAGATTTGTGTTGACAGTTATCAAACTCAAGACTACTGAATGACAAAGTCTACGAGCAGTGGCTTCATGCAGATTTAACAGAACTTGGAACATGCTCTTTGCCGTTTGGCTTATCCCAAAAGAGGACTGCACCCCTGTCAGGTTATTTTGCTTTACAGGTAAGGAGTTGCTGAATAAAGTATTGCAACATTTAAGTTTCTTTCAATAGTAAATTAGATTTATGATTTGGTTTTATTTCATTTATATACTGGATCTGAGTTTGGTGGCCAATTCCTTTCTTCATTTTGTGTCATTTCTGGATTAGAGAGAGAGAGAGAGAGAGAAAAAAAAAAAAACATTGAGGAGCATATTTCTTTAAGGATGTATAAAGATTTTTTTTTTTCCATAAATTGAATAATTCTGGAATATTCTTTAAACAATCTGCCTTATTTGTAATAACCCTTTTTCCAAAAAAAAAGATAAATAGTGTACGAGATGTGGGGCAGCCAGCCTATGCTCAGTTGCAGAGAGTGCGCCGGGCTGATAATGAAAATGCGAGAGTCAGTGCAGAACAGTCACATCAG